GGAAGCCACCTCAAAGCTGGACATCAGCACGTGTGTGTATACACACGATCTCCCATCCCTCATACTCGTCCGCCTTCGCGACCCTCCGCCGGCCGATAAGGCTATTCGCATCGCAAACACCATTGTTCTTTTGCCTCTAGCCCCCTTATATTTGTATACTCTGTCGTTTTCCGTTAAAGCGTCTTCCTTAAATTGAAAGAGACTATACGGAAAGAAAACAGAAAGGGTCAAAAATGCAACGTGTTCAAAATTATTTGCTTACTTTCAATTCAAAGTGGATTATGGAAGATAAAAGCCGGGAGGGGTAGAAGTTTGAAGGGAATCCATCGACGACACGTTTCATTCCTAAAATGTATCGCGTAATTACTGGGTTTGGCCTTCCCTGTGATTTTTGATGCAAATTCTTCAAAACAATTCCGGCGATCAAGTGGCGCGACGAGGCAAGGGTAGGGGGTATCTAGTAATGATGCGGGGGCAGGAGACGGGGTGTCGGGAGGGGAGCGGCAGACAGGGGAGATCAGTGGCTATCGGCGCCCACTTCACACATGCCTTAATGCACTCACTTTCCGTATCCAATCGATAGCATATTGCATTCTCCGTGGCAATTTACAACATGTGCTGTATCGGAGCTTCTCTACGAGTTTTTTACGGCCATTCGCGAATCATTACCCGCTCTCCGTTAGAAAATTAACCCGAAGGAGAACGGCGTCCGATAAAACGCGCCCGAAACTTTCCGTTTTCAATTTAAAACCCCGCCGACAGTTAAATGATGAAGGAAGTTCACAGAATTCACATTAAATTATATTTAAAACCACTTTTTAATTTTGACATTAAGAAGTGGAGGTGCAAAGCGAACAGAAGGCACCTGGCATTTGTTAAAAGTCTTTAATTAAGGAACGAACCGAACGCCGAAAACAAAGAATGCAAAATTAGCTTCATTTCTAATTATACAGCGCAAATATCTTAATTTCGAACTGCGAAAAACTTTATCGAACACATCTATCAAGCAGAAAGCTCCCGTTTAATTTATACCTAGTAAGGCGAAGACGCGGACGGAGTACAAAGTAGAGGCCCGATACTTTATACCCAGTGCGCCAAATATCCCTCGATACCCGATTTATCGCTCGCCCAAACTAAAGAAAATCGACTCGAAATATAATAAAGACCGTTCATTTATTTATTTGCTCTTAAAAATATCCAAATTAAAGGGTATAGTCTTTCCGATATCAATTGAAGAACCAACAGATTGATAGTATGTACCAGGTTCGGTCGCTGACGCAGCAACTCGCATTGAAATATTTGAAAAACTTGTTCCCATATTTATTTAGCCATACCCATAACAGGTCTGGTCGAACTAAACGTGGAACTCAAAACGTTCAACTCAGTTGAACAATGCGAGCGCGGGCAAAGGAAAACGATCACAGTTGCATTGGGCTGCTTGTCAATAAATCACAGCAGACAAGTGGTTGATAAATTGCCCAGCAGTGCAGTGCAGCAATGCGGGATTTGGTGTGATTCAGGTAATTTTAATTTATTATAAGCACCTTCTATTAATCAAAATTATTAAATATGTTGTTGGTCAAATGAACATATAATAGAAATTTTCTACACATTATATACAAATTATTATAATTTTTTACCTTTAGCAGAAATTTTTTTTAGGGACGCCTATGAAACTCATTAAACTTTATCACCAGACTTTTTTTTGCATGTTCAACTGACTTCGGAAAGACTAAGAATAAGGGCAAAATATAGTATAAAAACATTTAAAATAATTTATGTAAAAAAGCATAAAAAATATAAACAAAGTACATAATTAAATATTATAGCTTTTTAAGAGATAACGTGTTTTTGTCGCAACAATTAAGTGAGGAAAGATTTAAAGACTTTCGCAAAGCAAAACAGAGTTAAGAGGGCTCTATAGCAAGTAGCCAACCAACAATACATTTTTATAGATTTTATTACACAGTTTGTCTAAATATGAATTAATGCACAAATAACAGACTTTCCCCCATGTTAACGCAGATTTTCTATAAAATGGACCTAGTTTGAAACTCAAATAACTTTTTAGTGTAAAGAAATTTGTAATTTACGATTTACAAATTTCTTTACAACAAAAAGTAATTTGAGTTTCAAACTAACTCCATTTTAACTTATTTTAGAGATAAGAAGAAAAGTCCAATTTCTCACAATCCTTTTATTTTTTTAAAAAACAATAGACTACCGGTTTCGAGGTCAAATTTTTCACCTCATCCTCAGGTCCTACAAGGCAACAGTATGATATAATATAATTTTTTAAATTAGTAAAGTCAAGAATTAATAATTATTGTATAGGTTAAAAAATTAAACATAATTTGATTTTACAAAATTTAAATTTAAACATAATTTTTTACAAAAATTATAATTAAACATAATTTGACTTTACTAATTTAAAAAAATTGTATCATATTGCAGCCTTGTAGGACGTAAGAATGAGGTGAAAAATTTGACCTCTAAACCGATAGTCTATGGTTTTTTAAAAAATAAAAGGATTGTGAGAAATTGGACTTTTCATCTTATTTCTAAAATAAGTTATAATGGAAAACTCACATTTATCAATTTTGACTAACTCCATTTTATAGAATGATTGATTCATATTTAGACAAACTGTGTAATAAACTCTATAAAAATGTCTTAATATGACAATATTTTCACATCGCTAGCCTATTATAATGGGTATTGCAATATCATTGATACAAATAACAAATAGAAGAGGTCCAAGTATGTGCCCTTGAGGAACTCCTGATAATTAAAGGAAATATATAAAAAATTTACATTGGTAATTATTTTAATGTGTTTTTTTTATTTTAATATTTTCAAAACATTTTTTGTTTGTTTAAATTTTTTTAATGTCGTACGTTCAATGTTCTTATTCCTTGTATTATTATTATTTATAGCTCCGATGACGATCTAAAATAAATCGAAACGTCGGCCTGGTCAAGAAATAAAGCAAATGTTTTTAAGTGCGTTATAAATTGAACAGTACCTTTTACAATTATATCAACTAATACTCGAAAAGATCAGAAAAGGTAGAACAAACACTGCATTTGGCTTAGCTAAGGAAATGATTATTTATTTAAAGAAAACGATAAAATAGCATGGCTGGCGTGGCGTATTCAAATTCTCGTCTGTGATTGGAGGGTGAAAGGAGTCGGAAGTGACACAGTGCGCAGTGGTATATCTTATCTTCAAGCTATCAAATGTGTTTTAATAATGTTTTTAAACAAATTATTTAGTTCTAATTCTTTTTGCAACCCCACAGTTTACTAGAATTATCATTTCGGTTACTAATGTCACCGCTAGATGCCGCCATTTATATCTCACCGACAGTAGTATAAGGCTGAATAACAACAGTTGTGAATACTTTCCGATAAAAAATGTTTTTCCGTCAATGATCACATCGGTAATTGCTAACGCCTTGAATACATGAGTTAATATTGAAAGATTAAGTCGGAAATGGACCCTTAAGCGCGATGGGATGTGAGTGATAATTGGTTCTCACTGTACACTTCAACATAAGGGCGGCCAACGTCACTGCGCCGCATCTAAACACGAACTTTACTCCATCTCACTTCATATTGGAGACATCTGGCCCAAACTCTTTCAATTAAGATGAAAAATCCGAATGCATTAGTTCGAGGGCGAGAACTGTAAAAGGGGCAGGATAAGGCGGTGGCGGCGGCGGCGGCTGAAGCACTAGACAGCCCGCAGGTCTTGATTAGAAAGGACAGCTCTGTCTCTGATCTGCGTCCTCTTCCGCACCCCATCCACCCCCCCCCAGCCCACCCTACCTGCACCTAACGATACGGACCGAATTTTTAATATTCTTCCAATTCCAGATTTGTCCTTTCTTCCACCATCCGCTCGATCGAAGGATGGCAATATACAGGATCGTTCAAAGTTAGAAGTGTGTACAAAGTCAAAATTGTTTAATAATTTTTTTTTTACATTACACGAAAAAAAATGTTAAAGTTAAATCATATTGAACGCTACTTAACGATCAAATTCCGTCAACATGGGTGTTCCTCAGGGGTCAGTTCTGGGCCTTGTTCTTTTTATTCTATATACAAATTGTACGATCTCTTTTTGGATCATTTTTTCTGATTATTTAGTAGCTCAGTTAAATCTAGTATAGTTAATTCATTACAGTAAAGTAGTTTAATGTTTTTTTAATGGTACATAAAGTCAACAAACTGAACTGAATAGGTATGCGCCATTCTGTGACCTGCTACAATTTTCTTTCAAGAGAAGATAAGTTTGATTGTATGCTATATTTGTCTAAAATATTTGAATTAAATTATATATATTTACAAATAATATAAATTCTAAGAAAAATGATAGATTACAGCAAATATTCCACATAGTTTGACAAAAGTATATACATTTGAATACAATAAAATAACATTTGCGGCTCATTTGATCCAAATACTTTTTTTTTCAGTGATATTCGGTAGATATGAGTTCTTGCTCTTCGATCCAGACAACCATTTTTTCAATAGCGTATAAGTGAGCAATAGTGACGTTCTTTTTATTTTTATTTCTACACTGTAAGTTCTATATCACCCTGTGTATATGCGGGGTTGAATGGCCAGTGTAACAAACCAGTATTTCATAAAACTAGCTGAAACCAAGTCATCTAACTAGCGAAGAAGCTATTTATGCTTGATTAGTATTTTCGCAATAAAGACAGCACGAGGAAGTATGATCGATCGATAAAAATTTTCTCTCATTTAAAGATAGTTTTAAAGAGTTTTAATTTGATGGATGACGAAGGTTAGGGCGGCGTCTTAAATTTCAAAGTTGAGGTCGTTGGGGAGAGGGGGTGAAATCAAGCGGTGCATCTTGACTGTTAATCTTATTCCGTACGATTCGCCAGCTTCGTTTTCGCGGCAGAAATACAATTTTTCGCACAGTGCTCGAACCATTTTTATTATAACTAAGTGTTCATAGAATTAACTCACTTGCTCAACATCCTCGTGATGCACGCTATCGTTTGGGGTCGTGGCTGCTGAAGGTCTTTGTGACGTCGACAGGTTAATAGCACCATCTCCGTCTACGTCCTGGTCCATAGTGCCATCATCCTGCAATAAAATGATTGATAAAATTAGTCTTACTGGTCCGAATTTTCACCATGCAAGCCGCCTGATATTAGTTTAGTTTATTTTAAATAGTGACACAAGTTACTACTCCTTACTCAAGTAAGGAGCATCGGCTTCTTGTACCTGCGGAAATAACGTGAACAAGGCATGACAGACCACATGTGTTTGGTTCTTATTTGGTGAATCGAACCGCGAGGTAGTAATGTCTTATCAGATGTACAAAATGTGTGATTGTTTGACTAAGACGTTACACATGTTTGGTGCCGAAATGTATTAAATTGTAATAGTGAGGATTATTATCTACTATTGTGCTAACATATTTATATAAAGTAATAAATAAAAATTGTAAACACTGCTGACAAGATTTTATCTTATTTAGTACCTACTTTGCTATTTTTTTTACAGCTTTTATTTTAATTTAACTTTGTTTACAATGGTACAGAGTACTGACGATAATTGTTTTACGTATTTCGTGTTAGGCACTAAATTTTAAAAACGTAAAAAAAAATTCACAACAATTCTTGTCTAGGAAACAATAAAACGGGCTATCAAAAATTTTAGTCAATATATTTTAATAGAATTTCTTAAAAAAAACAATTTATTCTAAAAAATATTCAGTCTTAAGTTTATCTGAACCGTTTTTCACAATAATATAATTTGGTGTGTAGGAAACAACCAAAGTGGCTATTAAAAATTTAGAAATATAATTTAAAGCGATAGCATGGGCTATTATTTTTAGGTGATATTTTTTGATGTGTAGGAAACAACGAAAGAGGCTATTAAAAGTTTAGAAATACAATTTAAAGCGTTAGTATGGGCTATTAAAAATTGTAAGCAATATATTGAAACACAATTTTGAAATTTGCACTGAAAAATATTCACATTCTTGAGTTTATTTCACACCGTTTTTTACAATATAATTTATTGCGTAGGAAACAACAAAAGAGGCTATTAAAAAGTTAGAAATACAATTCAAGGCGGTACTATGGGCTATTAAAAATTTTAGCCGATATCTTGATAGAATTTCTTAAAAAATAATCGTGAAATTTGTACTAAAAAATATTCCCATTCTTGAGTTTATTTCAAATCATTTGTCACAATAATATAATTTATTGTGTAGGAGACAACAAAAGGGGCTATTAAAAATTTAGAAATGAAATTTAAAACGGTAGCATGGGCTTTCAAAAATTTTAGGCGATATTTTTTGTTGTGTAGGAATAAACAAAAGAGGCTATTAAAAATTTAGAATTACGATTTCAAGCGGTAGTATTAGAAATATAATTTAAAAGAGTAGTAGGGTTATTAAAAATTTTAGGCAATATCTTGACAGAATTTCTTGAAAAACAAATATTCACATTCTTCAGTTTATTTCACACCGTTTTTCACAATAATATAATTTGTTGTATAGGAAACAACAAAAGAGGCTATTAAATATTTAGAAATACAATTTCAAGCGGTAGTATGTGCTATTAAAAATTTTAGGCGATATGTTGATACAATTTCTGAAAAACAATCGTGATATTTGTACTAAAAATATTCTCAATATGTAATATAATTTGTTGTGTACGAGACAACAAAAGGGGCTATTAAAAATTTAGAAATAAAATTTAAAGCGGTAACATGGGCTATTAAAAATTTTAGGCAATATCTTGATAGAATTTCTTGAAAAACAATTTTGAAATTTGTACTGGAAAATATTCACATCGTTAAGTTTATTTCACACAGATTTTCACAATATAATTTATTGCGTAGGAAACAATAAAAGAGGCTATCCTAAAAATTTAGAAATACAATTTAAGGCGGTACTAAGGGCTATTAAAAATTTTAGCCGATATCTTGATAGAATTTTTTGAAAAATAATTGTGATTTGTACTAAAAATACTCACATTCTTGAGTTTATTTCAGATCATTTTTCACATTAATATAATTTATTGCGTAGGAGACAACAAAAGGGGCTATTAAAAATTTAGAAATACAATTTAAAGCGGTAGCATGGACTAATAAAAATTTTAGGCGATATTTTTTGTTGTGTGGGAAACAACAGAAGAGGCTATTAAAAATTTAGAAATACAATTTAAAGCGGTTGTATGGGCTATTAAAAATGTTACGCGGTATCCTTAGTTGTGCAAGAAACAACAAAAGGGGCTGTTAAAAATTAAAAATACAATTTAAAGCGGTAGTACGGGTTATTGAAAATTTTAGGTAATATGTTTTGTTGTGTAGGAAACAACAAAAGAGGCTATTAAAAATTTATAAGATTTAAAGCGGTAGTATGGGCTATTAAAAATGTTATCCCTTCGTGTTCATGGGCGCAAATTATTTTCAATAACGACTGGTTATAGATTATATAGCAATGCGATCAATAACAACGCAAGTTATGTAAAATTAACCGTACTGGCATTTCCGGATGCTTCAACATTTAGACATACAAACTGATTATATTTTTTCGCTCGATTGAGCTTAGTCCTTTTCGGATATAATTTTATAGGGCGCGATTTGCAGCACGCACGAACTGTTAAATCCCGCTGGACGAGACACCTAGGCTTGATTTTATCGGTCTCAGGACACTCGTCCATTTAGGATAAACGTCCTCGAAGCCATTTACAATCCTCAGCCTAACTCTTAGTTTTTACGATTATTAGGTACGCTAGCTTATCCCGACATAGTATATATTTTTACGAATCTAACAATCGGTGGTTTTTCATTCAACCGTATGATATTTTATAAGGCACTTTCTTATTTCCCCGTTTTACTTGATATAATAACAATAATATAAATACTAAGTGCCGTAAAACTCCGTTGCTACAGATAATAAACGATATTGTTATATTTGCTCCAAGATGAAATGTTAGTCCGTTTTATACAAATCTAACGGCCAGTTGAAATACACAGTCCTGTACGTATTTCGATTCTCAATCTATTTGTCTTTTAATTTTGCCCTAATGAACAGTAAAATGTCATTTTATATTTAGCCATATATTTTCATTCAAGGGGAATCGATAAATAGATATATAATAATAATAACCGGCCTGTTTTGGTATTCAGATCACGTGAGCAATATTTCTAAAAGAGAGCTAGCGTTATTTTTCAGTAAAAAATGATATAATCATACTATCATCCCCTAATTTAGACTTTTCTTCCCCTCGGTTTTTGATAGGGGTCTATATGGAACGACAACCCACATTTTCACATGCGAAAGGTATCTCTTTAAAATTTTATTTTTCAGAAGCAATCCTTGAATTATAACTCTGTTTGCTTAGCGCCGAAATACCGGAACATTTTATCTAATATTCATCAATTTACTTTGCCGCTAATATTATATGATACGCGGTAAGTACTGATTTATATTCATTGGGTACACACAGGATGTTACACTTACACTGACCCGAAGTCTGTTAAAAATCGTATTTTATTGGCAAATTGATATAATAATAATTGTTTCGTTATGAAATCACTTCTGATTTATTTAATTTTCGTAATAGGATTTAAAATCGGGTGTATATAAAACATTTAAAGGAAATAGATAAGGTGCAGACACACATCCTCACTAGCCCTTCGTGGTCATTTATACCGTTTAAGGGATAATCTGGATAATAGCCTTCCAGTTATCTTCAACACGCTACTGGTTTATATGATCCACTGTATTATATTGCAGTAGAGTTTCCGGCCCCTGAAACTGGAATATTTTTATGCTAATACTTTACATCCGACTCAATTAGTTGTTATCTGCATTTTTCTAATTAATTTAAAAACTTTACTACGAATTTTTATATTAAATTTTCACGTTTTTCATTATTTTCGTCTTAGTAGCTATTTTTTATACATATAAATGATTTCTTAAAGGGTATAACAGGATTTTTTTTTGACCAAGCCTCTAATTATTTTAACAATAATAATATCAAAAAATTAAAAAATATAAAATCATGGCACAAAAAAGGCAAACCCAGTCCTTTATGGATTCAAGGCATTTGATTTAATTGATCATGGTATTTTAATTGAAAACCTCGAGAAATATGGTGGAAAAGTAAAAAGCTTTTTAATATCTTATCTCACTGACAGATCAGAGGTAGTTGCAGTAAATCAATCTATTTCAGGAAAAGTAATCACAAAATTTGGGGACCTCAAGGTTCCATACTTAGTCCGTTACTTTTCTTAACTTATGCCAATGATTTGCCAACAAAATTTAATTATGTTTCCTGACGATAGCTCATATTTATGTTATGGAAATGACCACCAAGATCCTCCTTTATCCCTTTTAGAAAAAGACATACCTATATGAAACATGCTGAATATTTTAAATTAAATTGATTATTTTTAAATTGCGATGTAGATTGAATTCGACGTGAAAGTTCTTCAACTTCATTTACTTTTCTGTTATGAACTATAATTTATTTGTATAACCCCAGAAATAAAAGTCTGAAGGACTGAAATCCGCAGAACGAGAAGACCACGGAACCAAATCATCGCGCCCCTCAGCATATCAAGAACTTTAGTGTACACATATTCTTGTATATCACGAAAATATTCTTACAACACTTAATGCATGCCAAAATGGGAAACGTATCGTCTACATTCGTTCTGCAGCAGCGGCATTTTGTCTACGTTCACCGCAAATCCACCAACTTGCAATTACTCCATCGTAATAAAACACTATTATTTTATCTGCATTAGGCAGATTTCGAAACACAAAAATTGTGAAAATTGAAATGAATAGAAGATACATTTGAGTGTATATTTTCTTTTTCGATGTATTTTTAGTTTTATATGATCAACCGGTGTGGTGTTATCTCGCATATGTAGAGAACTGTGCTGGTTGTTCAGTGGGCATGTTTAGATTCATTAGTGGTTGATGATGGTCCTGGAGAGACGGAACGTTACACATAAATATTGATTATGCCATTCGATAGAGGCCAAAAAGTTGCCAAGAGAAAGTATTCTTCTTTTTACCGTACCATCTCAAACAAGACTGAAATTAAATAAAA